GCCACCAGCAGAGCTACGAGGGGAAGAAGCAGAGCCCCGAGAACCATCCTCTGTGGTACCAGGGCCACCAGCAGCGCCTCGAGAACCACAGGCTGCGCTACGAAGGCCACCAGCAGAGCCTCGAGTGCGTGGTATCTCGAAATTTCGGGTGGCCTCGACCTTCGAGACTCTCGGCGTGGACGACCAGGAGCCCGAGGACATGGCAGACGAAAAACCGACCCAACTTGGTCAAAAGGGGCTGGTTGCTGCTGGAGCAGGAGGCCGGCTGGCTCACGCAGGCCGCGCTGTACCACCAGCCGAGCGTCGAGGATCGCCATCTGTGGCACCAGGGCCACCCACCGAGCTACCTGCGCGTGAACAGCACGATCTGCTGCATCGCGCTGGCACCCAGAACGTGGAATACCACGACCTGGCAGCCGAGGACTCCGACCTTGACCTCGTGGACACCAACGCCCAGAAGGACGTACAGGTGGACGTACTCCTCGACTACTTCCTGGTGTGCGAGCACGAGGAGGGCATTTCGCAGCGAGGACCAGCGGAACTCCGACGACCAGCAGAACTGCGAGAACCTCCAGAAGAGTTTCGAGGACAACCAGCCGAACTACGAGGGCAACAAAAGCTTTGACCGCCACAGCCAGAACTAAGAGACCCATCAGCTGAGCTACGAGAGCCGCGAGCAGGGCTAAGAGGACCACCAGCTTAGCCGCAGGAAGAAAAGGTGAATGAGGAGGAGGGCCCGAGCCAGAACTCCATGGAATCCAGACAGCGGATGATGAATGGCAACCAGCTGAGCTACGGAGGCCCGGAGCAGAGCTACGAGGACAACCAGGCGATCTACCGAGCCACCCGCTCAGCTACCAAGGTCACGAGCAGAGCTTCGAGAGCCACCGTCCGAGCCACGAGGCTCACCTGCAAAGCTACGAAGGTCACATCTTCAGCCTCCAGGGCCACAAGCAGAAATACGACATCCACCGGCAGAGCTAGCAGGAGTCCTACCAGCCCTTCGAGCACCACAGGCTGAACGACGAAGACCACAGGCGCAGCTACGAGAGCCACCTCCAGAACTGCGAGGACCGCAAGCTCAACTACGAGGGCCACAAGCAGGGCGACGAGGACCACCAGCTGAGCCACGAGGACTGCAACCTCCGCTACCATGGCCACGAGCGGAGCAACCAGGAGTACCACGAGGGCCACCAGCTCAGCTACGAGAACTACACGAAGAGCTACGAGAACCACCAGGGCAGATACCGCAGGCACCAGATCTCCTTCGTGGGCAGCAAGCAGCAAGCAGACCTACGACAGCCACCAGCAGCGCTACCAGGGCCACCAGCGCACCTTCTAGGACCGCAAGCTGAGCTACAAGGACCACAGGTACAGCTAGTATAGCCACCAACAAAACAATCAGGACGAGCTGTACTGCAAGGGCTACGTGCAGATCCTCGAAAGCCACCAGCCCAGCTACGAGGCCCAACTGCCGAGGCCACAGAGGCCACAACTTGAGCTACGATGGCCACATGAAGAACGCCCAGAACCTCCTGCAGAGCTACCAAAGCGACAAGCCAAACTGCGAGGACGAGGAGCAGAACTTCCAGAATCACCAGCTCAGCTCCGAGGGCCACCTGCTCGGCTACGAGGGCTACAAGCGAACCGCAGGCAGAGCTACGAACGCCTCCTGCAGAGCCACCAGGGCAACGAGCTCAACTGAATATGCCACCAGCTGAGCTACGAGGTGCGCTACGAGGGCCGCACGCAGAGCCACGAGATCCACCAGAAGTGCTACCAGGGCCACCTGCTGTTCTACGAGAGCCGGCAGCAGAGCTGCCGGGGTCACCATCTGAGCTGCGACCCACCCGCGCGGAGCCACGGGAGCCACGTGCAGGGCCACGGGGACCACCAGCTGAGCTACCAGGGCCAGCCGCTGCATTACGAGGGCCACGACACGAACATCAAGGCCCAAGAAAGACCTGGACAAATAGCAACTGATCGGCATCGGAGACACGGCGGAGGGCAATCACGGTAGAGAGTACTACGAGTGCACGGTACTGGAACTCAGCGCCCAGACATTGAAAGTCCGTTGGACCGACGGCACGCAGGATAACGTCCCCCGCTACTTCATCCGCAGGAAGATACAAGCAGAGCTAAGAGGGCCTCAAGCTGAGCTACGAGAACCACAAGCAGAGCTACGAGGACCACCGATTGAACAACCCAACCAGGTGGCGCCATAAAGAACAAGGCGAGACCGGCCTGCCTGAAGCCAGAGAAGAGCACGCACTATTACGGCGGTGCGGGCGACGGTATACGGGTATACCATTGCACAAGGGATACCACGTCTACGTCATTAGCGCTGTGGGCATCATCATCGCCATCACGTACTACACTACCGACACGATACTCCGTACGGCGCTGCCGACAAGGTACAACGTCTACGGTATTTATGTACCGCTCCTACGGTCGAGTGGCCCCGCCGCGCCACCAGTCCGAACGTTCCCTCAGAGGTCTCAGGAGGGCGGCTTTTCTTTGGAGTCCCGAAACGGTGCGGTGACAGACCGTGCGGTGACCTCGGAACCCCGAGAGACCTCACCGCACGGTCCGTCCCCACACGGCCTTGGGACCTCGGAGGCCCCCATCGCCCGAGACGTCCTCGGAGAACGACCCGAGTCACAGAACCGTGCGGTGACCCCAAACCCCCACCGACTCACCGCACGGTGTGGTCACCACCCCGTGTGGGGACCCCGTTGGCCCTCCTCGGCCCCGTCCGCGGCCGGCCGCGCAGGGCGCGGGGCGCGCCCTGCAGGTGGCGCGCCAGCGGCTGCGAGAGAGAGAGAGAGAGAGGATCGGGAGGAGGGAGGCGGCAGGAGGGAAGAGGAGAAATCACTTTTTTTGATTCGCGGGTCGAGAGCGCACCTCTTCCGGTCGAAGCTAACTGGGCCGCGCGAAGCTTGAATTAACTTGAGATGGGGAGGAGAAGGGGGGCGCAGCCTCAGAACGAGGCCAGAAGGAGGCAAAGCCTCGGGATCAGGCGGTGCCGTAGCAAGAGGAGAAATCACACCCAAACGTCCGAATACTTTTCTGGCACGCGGGCGCCCCAAGCGGGTCGAGCGCCGGGCAAGCAGGCACAGGCTGTGCCGCCAGCGAAGGGAAGAACAAAAGAGCGGGCAACGCTGGGCGCGGGACGGTGCTCAGCGCGGCCAAGATGGCGCGAAAAACACGTCCGAATACGCCAAGAGAGGAGAAAACAGTGGCAAACGGACAAGAGGAGCACCCACGACTCGAAAAGCAAGGCAGCTCACCAGTAAACGAAACGGAATTCAAGCACAAGCAAGCTACCCAAGACGAAGCCAAAAGCAGGTGGCGCCCTGAGCAAGGAGGGGGCGGGGCTGCCCCATCCACCTTAAGATAGGCGGCGTCCTCACTGGACACTTCAAGGGAGCACGGAACCAAAAGCCTCGATCTACTAGCAGAAACTTGGGCTCGGGAGTCCGCCGGGCAAAGGTGGTGATCCATAGTGTGGTTGGGCCACAAGGCCCTCAGCGGGGAGGAGGATATCAGGAGGGCAAGCATCCCTCGCTACCCCCGCGGCCCCCTGCCGAAGCCCCACACAGGCCTTTCCCTCTGGAGGGGCGGCGCCCCCAGGGGACTGCAAGGCATCGGCAGAATCATGGGCAACAGGCAGGGGACCTGGAGGCGGGGCGCCTTCGGGCGAGGGTCCCCAAGGGATAGCTGGGGGGAGAAGGACGAGGAGATTCCTTGTCTGCTCCTCCTGGAAGCAACGGAGGAGGAGCAGGACGAGTCCGCGTATCCTGGTATGGACGAGAAAGCAGAGGAGCCTCTCCCCAATGAGCCTTTTCTTCCTCCTCCTCCTCCTCTTCCTCCTCCTCCTCCTCCTCCTTCTCCTCCTCCTCCCGATCCTCCCTCCGTCCATCCCTCATCCTCCTCCAAATCCTCCTCCTCTTCCTTCACGAACAACGACCCTTTAGGTTTTCCGTTCCCTTGCGAACCAAGGGCAGCGGCAGGCCGTTGTAGTCGTGGTGTTTGACAAGGGCAAGCAGGTTCTCGCCCATTACCTCTCCAGGGGAGTTCTGGGAGAGGGAAGGAGGGGCGGAGGGAAAGAGGGAAGGGCAAGGGCGGGTGCACGTGAATGAAAGGGGAGCGATCGCATTCCCCAAGGTCTATGCTTCGCTGGACGCCTCGGGTGAGAACGGCACGTATCATAACGTCCCTTCGTGCCAGCACTCGACGGCGGGCTTGGAGGAGCCAGCACCCCATTGGTCCCCTACCTCCCGTCAGGTCACATGACATTGAATGTCGAATGTATTAAATCACGTGTTGTTTGCATGGCCAGCCGACATTCCAGCACAGTCTCCGGAATTTCGCGCGCGATCGTTCGCTGCAATTGAAAAGAAGCGAGAAAGCAGGACGGCAGGACAGAGACAAGAGAAAACAGCAGAGGACGAATGGACGGACAAACAAAGAAGCGAACCACCTCATCTCCCCCGACCGCACAGCACCCGAACCTGCAGATACCTGTTCCCTGCCAGAAACTGCGGGTGGTGGGCCAGGAATTGCACACAGTACGGCGTCCCAGGCACACTCTACAAGCTTACAGTTTGCGATCAGCATATTTATGAACACACGATCACCGACAGGGGGGGGGCTTCAGGCCAAAGAACCCCACGCGCCTCAGAAGGTCAGGAACAGGGGAGGGGTGAGGATGCATCAGCCGAGAACTTGCAAGTCTACCTCTGCAGCCCAATAGCGTCTGGGTCTCCAAGCGTACATCAGCCGTGGCGGCCCCCGGTGATCGCATGACTGCCTGGTACAGTGGGAAAACGAAGCAGACATCGCTTCCCGACACTCAGTCTGCCCATACCTCTCGCATGATTCAGCTGCGCTCTTGGCATGTAAGTGGCCCACCACGCTGGCCAGAGGGTGTGAAGGAAACTCGCACAGAATCAGCAAGATAAGAGGGAAGAAGAAGGAGGCAGAGGAGGCAGAAGAGGAGCAGAGGGAGTGGGAAGAGGAGGAAGAGAAGCAGAATGAGGAAAAAAAACGAGGGACAATGAGGATGCGGAGGAGAAGGTGGAGTAGAAATAAGGGTACGAAGAGGAGGAGGAGGAGGAGGAGGAAGAGGAGGAGGAGAAGGATAACTGGGATGAGCAGGGCGAAAGAGGAGAAGAGGAGGAGGAGAAAATCGAGGAGCAGCCGCAGCAGGAGGAGGAGACGGGTGGGGGAGGAGGGCCAGAAGGGATGGCGGCAGTAAGACATGGAAGGGGAGACGAGGGAGCACGAGGTGAGGGCGGAGGAATCGGAGGAGCGGAATGAGGAGAAGGACGAGGAACACGCCCTCAGGGCGCGGCCCGTCCCAGGAGCCTCGAACACCATGCACCTGAGAAGCAATCCCCCGATCCAGGCTGGCCAGACATGCCTGGCCCGGCCCGAATGCCGAATGGCTCGACCCGTTCCAGGGAACGGGAGGCACGGCTGATCGAATAACACATCGGCTGCCCGGATCGAGAGCGATCGTCGATTATCGATCAACCATCGAGACACGATCGATGGAACCAGGTCATGTCTGCCCTCGTTTTCCTCTCCCTTCTCATACCGAGCTTCCTCCTCCTCCTCCTCCTCCTCCTCCTCCTCCTCCTCCTCCTCCTCCTCCTCCCCCTCCGCCTCCTAGGTTGCCATGGGACGGACCGAGAGGCCATCGACCTGTCAGGAGGATTAGGAGCCTACCACCGAAGGACATCAGGGCCTGCGACCCTTCCTGAGGCCAGGAGGCGAGAGGCCACACATCCTGCAACCGAACTCGCCCACTCTGCCCGCAAAGTAGGATGGGCATGGTTCTCAGCAGTGTGCAGCCTTTGTGTGTGTGTGACCTCTGCGAGCGCCAGAAGAAGAGTGCGAATTTGCCGCACCCACGCCCGAATAGCACAAACAAGCAGCTTACGTATCCTTGCGGCAGTCATGCCCCATTTCCCTCCAGGGCTGGGATACACTTCTTCTGTACATGGCAAATTGGACGATGGAGCACAACAAGTAAAGCAAGTGATTGGAACCCCTGGAGAAGACGATGAATTCGAAGAGCCACCAACACGTTTCGCATGCAGTCCATCAGGTTGTCATATGATGCTTTCTATGGGCACTTGGCAGTTGAAAAGAGGTACCAGTACTGTCTCGCAGAATGACCCAGATTATCTTGAGCAGGTTCACATTGTGCTTAAAACTACTGATGGGGAAACTGCTTCAAATGCAGATCGGGGCCATCACCACGGGCACTGGGGAGTGCCAGCTGGCGCAGACCCTAAAAGGAGCTGCTGTCCAGACAGATCCAAAGACGGAGGACACGTGCGTTGCAGAGCTGACCGAATCAGTTGGCCAAGAAGAGTGCGTTGCCAGTGTTCGTGACATGTTAGAATGGCTACCTGTTGGGGTAGAAGCCCACGAGGGCACGCAACAAGAAAATACCGCGTCGGATGCCGAATACGAGCAAATTCAGAAGGTTTGGCAGACAATGCAAAATGAGCCGCAGCAAACAGGCGGAGAACCCGATATGCTCCATGATGAAATGTTTAACCAGCTCCTCATTCCCATCAAGGACGGGAAATACTACACACTCCGAGAAATCAACAAACACCTACAGGCTCGTTGCAACAGATGCGATAGTTGGCAAACACTTCAATATTGGAGCCAAGTAGTCTTATAGACAAGGGAGAGACATAAAAAATACCAATGGCCCCTGGTGGGGATTCTCTCACTGATCGGAAGCAGAAATGTCAAGTTTAGCTGGCTTGATTCTTCCTGGTGGTCAACATTCGACTCATGAGATAAGCCCGCGCGCGATTGGCGCGTCGGAGGGCGAGTCTTCTTGCCCCGTCGGCTTCGCCACTCTGCGGCCCCTCGGCTTCTCCTGCGGTGCCTCCCTCCGCTCCTCTGCGCCCCTCGCCTCCCCCCCCGCCCCGCCCTCCGCTTCCGGGCTCCTCGGCCTCCTCGCCGCCCGCCCTGCCCGAGCCCGACCTCGGGGCGGCCGACCTCACGTGCGAAGAGCGTCTCCTCCTCCTCCTCCTCCTCCTCCTCCTCCTCCTCCTCCTCCTCCTCCTCCTCCTCCTCCTCCTCCTCTGGAGCCTCTGGAGCCTCTGCGGACACAATCCCTCGTTGAAAGACTGGCCCGAGGAATCATCAGAGGAACACGATGGGCGCAACGACGGGCTCCCCCAAGAGCACCTCCAAGCCAGGCACGAGCCCCACGGCCGAGTAGGCGACGGACCACGCCGCCGCTGGCAAGGAGCACACGAGCGTCACTGCTGGTTGCAGGACGCCTCATCCTTCGTCTCCCCAGTCACGGGCCATCCTTCACGCTCCAGCCTGGCAAGCTTCCACTTGAACGGCTGTGGATATAGTTTGCGCCTCCTCGATATCCGCTTGGCGTTGATGGCTCCGACTGTCTGGGCGTGCAACTGCTGGACCACCGCCAGATCCGCATCCGTGGCGCTGACCCCAGCCTCAACAGCCCCACCCTCAGAGCCGTCCGTACTGGGGGGGTGGGGCCCCAGCACAGGAAACTGCGTAGCAGCCCCACCCTCAGAGCCGTCCGTACTGGGGGGGTGGGACCCCAGCACAGGAAACTGCGCAGCCTCCCAGTCCGAGAGCTCGTGGATCTCGGAGTCTTTCTGCACGACGTGGACGGAAGGCCCCACGGGCAGCAGCTCCCAAGTGCCAGGGACGAACTCCGCCGCATCAGCAGAGAGGCTGGTGGGGGCGCGGCCGACTCCCGCGCGCCGTGCCTCGAGGCGAGGCCCACGCTGTGCTCGGCGAAGCTCGCGAGCGCGTGCTGACGCCACGTCGATCTCGAGGGCCTCGGCGTGGAGCGCAACATTGCGCCGCAGCTTCTCCAGCCAGGTGGGCTCCATCCCGTGGAGCGTGGCCACGAAGGCAGGCAGAAGTGCACGGAGACGCTGTGCCACCTCCGCATCCCCCACGATGTAGTCCAGGGCCGCTTCCGCCGCTGCCAGCTGCCCGCGGACGGCCTGCAGCTCCTCCACACACTTGGCCACGGCACGGTCAGCGGACCAACGCGCCCATGCCCGAGAAGCCCGGCGGGCCTCGGCAGAGCGCACTGGGCGGAGAAAAGCTCCGCCCTCCCGCGCCATTCCCAAGTCCGGAACACCTCCAGCAGCAGCAGACCGGCCGCACATGACGAGCCAGCTTGAGCCCCGGGGGCGCGACCGACGGCTTGAGCCAAAATGGCTACGGATCTCCTCCTCCTCCTCCTCCTCCTCCTCCTCCTCCTCCTCCTCCTCCTCCTCCTCCTCCTCCTCCCCCCTCCTTCGCCCGAGGCGCCCCCGGCTTCTTGCGGCGGGGGGGGGGAGGGGGCCGCGGCTGCCCCCGGCCCCTCGCTGCCCTTCCCCGCCTCCTTCCCCCCCTCCCTCCTCGCCCCGCGGCCCCGAGTGCGACCCGAGAACCCGCCAAGCTCCTACAGTTGGGGCGTTGACCTAAGGAACCCTAAACAAGGAACGAGGCCTCCTTTTCCCATAAGTTCAACCTCGATTTCCCATGAAAACCCTCAGGAAAACCCAAGGCAAACTTTGAAACAATCAAGGAACACCGAGCCCCTCCCCAACGAAAAGCGTTCTTTCTTCAAGGCCCCGACTCTAACCCCTGCACTCCACTTCTCTTCTCCAGCGAGGCGCCACGCCCTCCGCCAAAAGGGGCACCAGGGCGCCCACGTAGGCCTCGGGAGTCAGGCAGGCTGAAGCTGATCCCAGGCCCTGCATACATGCTTTTTGTTGGAGGAGCAAGAGATGGGAGCGGACAGCGATACTATACACAACTCGCCTCGCCACGCGTGCTGGCAATTGTCAAGCTCGTCGCAAGGCTGTCCTGCGAGCGTGGCCGAAATTCCGGTCAGGGCAAGAACAGAAAAAGCCAGATGGCGAAGGATACGAGTTAGCCCTAAAACGTATCATCCCAAGGCCTGCCAAACTGTAGTTGGCCTGACCCGTATTGAGCGGCCTCGACGGCCAAGTAATACATTCACCATGGCAGGAGAAAGGAGGGAGCGGGAGCAGGAGGGCGAGGAGAGGGAGGAGGGGAGGGGGACGAGGGGAGCGGGAGGAGGGGAGGGGACTCCAAAACACCTGGAGCAGCGCTCAGGCTTACCTGCAATAGGCGAGTCGTTGAACGCGTCCGGGGGCTTGGGACACTTCCATAAATGCATGCGTATAGGACAGAGCCCAAGCTTCGTGAATGACCACGTGAACTTCAAGTCCCGTCCAAGACTGAAGGAGAGGGGGAGGAGGAGGAAGGAAGGAGAAGGAGACAACAAGCGCCGAGACAACCCTACCACCAAGGCAAAGGGAACATGCCCTCGAGAGTCGTGCAGAAGGACCCGGCACGATGAGGTAAATCAGTGGTGAAGTACAGCAGTAGCCACCCCTCAAAAAGCTTCACCCGAGGCATACTGCCGCCGTGCGATCGCCGGCAAAGGCCAATTGGGGTGAGAGAGGGAGGAGCAGGCAGAGGAGTCAGAGAGCGAGCCAGCCCTAGCAGCGTTAGTCAGCGCTCCGCCTCTGGGAGGAAAGAGAAGGAGGACAGGGCGGGGGGGGAAGCTGCGGAGCCTGGGGATGACGCCGTATCGCAGCTCGCGCGAACCACTTCGCCTGCCAGGCCTCACCACCCGCGCCGCCGGACGTCGCCCGGAGCCTGAGCCTTGCCATGTCGGGCGCCTGGCGGACGGGGAAGTGCGGACCTGGAGCGACAAGCTGCCAACCGCATTCCTGCCGCGTGGCATGCAGCTGGTCCTGAAGACCAGCGGAAACGTACGATAGCCTCGGATTTCGGGTGCGGGCAGCCTGCCTGTGACACTCGTATCGGCCACGCTGTCGGGACAGCAATATGGAGAGGAAGAGGAGGAGGAGGAGGAGGAGGAGGAGGACTTCCAGGACTTCCGCCATCACGAATTGATAACCTCTACTCACATCGCTCAGATCTACTCTGAGGACACAGGCCCCGACTTATCCTGTCTAGATACTCGGACCTGGCCTCCGCAGGTGGTGTGACACACGGTTCCGCCAGTCCTCTGAGCTGGACTTGACCGAAAACCCAACAGGAACCGCAATACCACAAACGGAGGACTGTATGATAAATCGCTGCGTGAGAAACGCGCACCCACCCCCCAGCCAAGTATAAACGCCGTCCCTCGGGAACTCGGGCAAACGTATCATTCACATGGTGAAGCTGGAAGCCGGCGCTTTTGAACCATCCCGCAAGCGACGCTGTAGTAGCCGACCTTTTACACACATTGCAGGCCCACCCACACTCGGTCACGGTGTGATGAGACGCAAACCGTGCCACGGCCAGAGGAAGAGGAGGAGAGAAACGAGGGGGGCAGGTGCGAACCCTAGACTCGCCACCCTGCGACTGCGACGCCCGAATCGATTCAAGAGCTACACGCAGCAACCTCCTCCGAACAAGAAGTGCTTTATGTTATATGGTCTGTGCCCGGTGACGACTGGCCTGGGAAACTCGCACGCGCGGCAGCCTCACCAGCAAGGGCGTCAACACAAGCACTGCCTAAGACTGACCATCGAAGAATCTGCCTATTGATCATGTGCTGGGCAGACAGATGGGACGGGACTTGCATAACGATGATGCTAATGGGATGCCTACATTGCTCGACCAGGAACGCGCCGATCGGCCTCCACAGATCGGTTCGCGCTCCTACTGGCCTGCGAAAGCATTCGGCAAACCACCTCCTCGCGACACCCTCACAATAGACAACGTAAAACAGCGCGCCCGCAGAAAATCTCAGCGCCCACAAGAAGGCCAGGAGCTCTCCGCGAGGCACACTTTGCTGAGGCCCATGCAGGGGACCCAAGAGATGAGGCCCCAGACAGAGCGGTTTGAAACTAGAATAGACGGCCACCGCGAGGCCCACTCTACGGAGCGTAACGTCGCGCGCGTCGCCCCCCCCCCCCCCCCCTCCCTCCTGAGGCGTCCCAAAAAACTATACGGGGTGCCTCAGAGGAGCCGCTGCCTAGACACCCAGGCCCAAGACCATCACAGCCAAGACTCCCCCCCGTAGATGGCTTCGCTCGAAAGCGGCGGCAGGACCTGTGTCCATTCCGCGGGGATGAGCCCCCCAATCCAAAAGCAGGGGAAGGCCTCGGCCTCGGCCAAGGCCTGAGGTGTGAATGTGCTAGACTGGGCAAATGCTCTCGAGGATGTATCGGGGTTAGCCTCACATAAGCAAAATCGACGCAAAGGGGCGTCAACTTCTTTGCCACAGCGCAGACGTACACCAGAATCCGCCGACCCCCTGGGTCATCGGCGTGTGAGATGCTTCCCCCTCCCCAAACCCCTCCCCGGGGAACCCGGTCCGGTCGATTTGGAGGGGGGGGGGGGTGCCCACCACGAGCGACTCACGACGCTCTTCCGGGCCCAAAAAGGCCCAAATACGGGCCAAAAAGGCCCCAAGAGGCCTCCCAGACGTTCCAAGAGGCCCCCAGACGCCCCAAGAGACCGCCTAGACGCCCTAAGAAGCGCCCAAGAGGCCCCAAGAGGCTTCCAAGACGCCCCACGAGGGCTCCAAGACGCCCGAAGAGACCTCCAAGACGCCCCAAGAGACCTCCAAGAGGCCCCCGAGGAGCGCCCCAAGAGGCCAAAATCGTCGATTTTCATTGGTTTTTGTTCGATGTTTTCGTCATTTTCGCCTTTTCGGCCTTCCGACGCTCCAAGACAGCCCAAGAAGCTCCCAAGACTGCTCCAAGACGGCACAAGAGGCCTCCTCGACGCCCCCAAGACGGCCCAAGAGAGCCCCCAGACGGCCCAAGAGCCGCCCAAGGCGGCCCAAGAGAGCCCCCAGACGGCCCAAGAGCCGCCCAAGACGGCCCAAGAACCTCCCGGAGACGGGCCCAAGAGGGGCTCCAGAGAGAGACCACGCACCGGAAAACCCAGCCTTACGTCCCAAGAGGCCCCCAGGAGGCCCCCAGAGGCCCCAAAGAGGCCCCAAGAACCCCCCAAGAGGCCCCCAAGACGTTCCAAGAGGCGCCCAAGAAGCCACAAAGAGGTCCCAAAACGGCCCCCAAGAGCCTTCGAAACTGCTCCAAGAGGCCCGCAAGAAGCCCCCCCGCAAGATCCCAACGGACATCCCTGAACACACCGGTTTTTCGAGTCGCGCCCAGCCCCATAACCCGGAGCCTCATCTCAGTGTCCCCGTCCTCCTCCTCTTCCTCCTCCTCCTCCTACACTTCCTCCTCGTTCCCCTCCTCCTCTTCCTGCCCCGCTTCAGCTCATCCTCACCGATGCTTCTCCCCCCCATTTTCCGCCTCACCCCCCATCCTCCTCTTCCCGTCCTCCCTTTCTGCCCAGTACGCGCAACCGATTGGGCATCATTTGCACGTCTTGCACTTTAGGGTGCCCTTCTTTGCGTCGCGCGGGACATTGTGAGGGTCGGGGAACGCCGACTTTGGTAGTCCTCTCTTGCACGCGCCGCTGCACTGATAAGCCTGGCAACTGCGCGCTGTGAACCCGAGTTCCTCGCAGCTTCTGCACACCAGTTTAGCTCCTTTCGCCGCTCGATGATGTTCCACTTGTTTCTGCTTCAAATGTTTCGTGTCCGAGAACGCGCCTTTGCACGCCGCGCACGTCAGCGGCTTCGCGTCCGCCTCTGCTTTCCGCTTGCGATTCTCTGCATCCGCCTTCTCGTTCCGCCCACCCTTCTCGTTGCGGGCGCACGCCCTGCAAAGCCTCCCCCCCGCATCTTTCGAGTCGTACTGGTTCGCCGCCACTTCCGCCTCCGTCTTCAAGAAATTCTTGCACTTCGCGCACCGAATCTGGACTTTCTCCTGAATCTGAGAGGCCTCTGAACCACAACTCAGGCACGGTGGCGGGATGGGCCGACTACTGGGAGGAGGAGCAAAGACGACGACGATAGGAATGCGGGGGATAAGGACGGGCCATGACGCCCCCAAGACGTCCAAGATTGCCTCCAAAAAAAACAAGGGGTCGGCGGTGTGGCGTAAGCCTAAAGAATCACAAAGATTGGCTGCTTCCCGTCGGTCCTGCGTCCAGTCGCTGGGCCAGCAGCAGATCTCTGACCATGGCACGGTAAGATGTCAGATCGGCGCCGCCTCCTTCCAATCCACCTCCGCAGACATGCAAGGAAGCTTCTCTCCAGGACTTTTGCTCCATGGTCGCCCGCAGCTCGTCCAGCAGCGGCTGCGCCTGGTCCGGCCCCGCGAAGTCACCCCCATGAAACTGCCATGTGTGAGTCATCGTGGCGCCGTCGCTCGGAACCTGCCACTCCGTCGCTATCTTCGGGTCGCACCCTGCTTCTATCAAGTAGAGAATAACAGCTGACATCGGGGCCCTGATATGCCTAGCCCGATTGCTAGGCTGAACACTCCGTAAGTGCTCATATGCCCTCGGCCAACCACGCGCCGTCAATGTACGAGTGGACGGAATCGACAACCAGACAGCCAGCCACTGTGAAACACACTGCCTCGGCAAAAGATACCCTGGGTCGCACCCAGGCAACCTGAGGGCTAAAAGAATAGTGAGGCATCGCCCGCGCTTGCTGGATCTTGCAGCTGCGCGTAGACGTCGCCTGTGCCAAACCGCTGTCGAGCCGAACTGCCCGTAGACGCGATGGCCGTAGACGGCCGCCGCCTGCGGCCCAGCACGTTGCAGTCTAGCCGACGCCGTCCAGCGTCTTGCCGCCTGTGCCAGCCTGCGCAGCCGCCCGTGAGCCTTGCCCACTTCGGTGGCCCGTTGGCGGGCCGTGGCTCTACCGCGCCTCCTGCCACCCGCCGGGTCGACGCCCAGGTAGGCGGACTGCAGCACGGCCCTGGGAGACACCCCCTGCCTGCGAAGGGCCTGCTGCACCGCAACTGCATCCGCATGGCGAGCGCACGTCACCACATTCGCGTCCGCGGTGGGCAGATGCAACTTCCGAGATATCCGAGCCGTGGACAGCACACCGTTGATCAGAGTTACGCGCACATGATGTCGAGACCCTACGACTCTCTGTGACAGATCGTCGATCCAGATCCTCTCGCACAAAGCAGGGTGCGCCGTGCATCGTCGCTGGCACACGTACGCTGTGAGACACTTGGCGAATCGAGTCCCGTTCCTGAGACCCTGCACCACTGAACAGTATACCTGAAAAGGTTGGCTGAAAGAGTTGGGCTGTTCCAGTATGCGCGGTGCCAGGCACACCTGGAGATCCAAGTAAAGGGTGACTGCTGGAAACCCTTAGTCAAGGGCGCAAAGCGACAGAGGTTCCTATTCGATAGTCTCGTAGAATGAGCTGATGTCGACTACTATCTGCCCGTGTGGAAGCCCTGGCCAAGAATGGAGCTCGTCCTGCAGGGACCTCACAAAAGCTTCGCGCAGCACGCTCTTGCCAGCAACTGCCGCGTCCCAGTGGTCGACTTCAGCCTGGGGCTGAGACCATTCGCGCATCTGCCCCTCCCTGCACATGGACCATCCTCTGCAGATCATCGCGATGAGGTCTATGACTCTGTCTCCTCCTGGTTGTTCCCGATAAGCTTGCCAACAACGCACAAAGCATGCCAGGGCCACGACAGCCTTTCTTCGATCATGAGAAACAAATCGCAAAGGGCCTGTACACCAACATCTGGCAATCTCTCAAGATCTGCAGGGGACAGCCGATCGATGCCCAAGCCCGCACGCGCTTTCATTCGGGCCAAAGCGCTGCGCACCTCTGCACCCGTGAAAGGTGCCAGCCTCTCGCTCTCGGCCCTGCTCCGAATAGTAGCCATCGTACTGAGCACCGACTCCTGCGTAGTAATGTGAGAGCTCCACAAAGCATGATATTTCTGAACTTTCATGTCCACGATGTCCATGGGATGAACCAGCATCGTACCCTCGGCCAAATGCAATAGGAAGAGGAGGAGGAGGAGAAAGAGAAAGAGAAAGAGAAAGAGAAAGAGAAAGAGAAAGAGGAGGGGGAAAAGAAGAGAAGGAAGGAGCAACCGCCCGAATTTCCACTTACCGAGGATGGCGGGACACGTGCTGCGCAGGAACCTCTGAGGCTGGACGTTTGTCTGAAAAGCACGGGAGTTCAAGCTGGATTTTACACAAATAGCTCACGCCCAGCGGAGCGCGAGAGAGCAGCAGGCTAGAGAAAGAGGGGGCAGCGAGGGAGGAGAAGAGGATACAACTACCCTAGACACAGGCCTTGTGGTTGACCTGCGATGGCCAGGAAAGCCGGCGAGACCAGTCAGAGAGAGCAGAAGGCAGCCTGAACGGCAGCCGTATAGGGGAAAACATCTACGCTAAACGGGCAGGGAGGGGGGGACGACCACGAGAAGGAAAGAGGGAGGGAGGGTGAGGAAGACTAGTGACGAACACGTTGAAAAACCAGACGCACCAGGCATTAACGACTGCGCATGTTCTCCGGTGGCATCCAGGACAAAACCTCGGAAAAGGTCCGGCGCGCCGCCTTGCAGCGCGCGGTGGCAGATCGCAGCGTGCGTGCGACATGATGCGTAGGGCGATGGCTCTCAGATCATGGCCTCCACCGAGATCAACGGCAGGTGGTCCGCGGACAACGCCCTGGTCAGCGATGCCCACACAAGTCGATACACGGTATGTGGCCTCGCGGATGTCCAAATTGAGGCTACGTTTTGACCACTGGTGAAAATGCTTACAGACTGCGTAGAACTGGATCGAATCCTTTCCGCATCCGCAACCAAGAAAAACATGGTGCCGATCTCCCGAATCTCCTGGCCGCCGTCCAGTCATCGACCGCTGTGCGAAGAAAGACAGCTAAAACTCTCGGCGCGACCTGCGTGGAGAGCAAACGACAATGCCAGAGGAAACGGTCCATTCGATGCCCAAGCAGCACGGGGGAAGCCCAGCGACCTGGCCCTTCTCGAAATGCTCGATGCACCTGCGTGGGGTCGGCGCCGCGGACTGCAGCGGCTGCCTGGGCTTGCCACCCCTCGAGACGATGATCCGGGTGCGCGGTGTCCATCAAAGCTGGGCTGTTGGCCGAAGCCCTCTGAACCGCCTGGTCGGCCACTCGCAGACTGAAAAGGAAGCAGCGTCTTATCCAAGAGCCGCGCGCGGACACGCCTTACCGCATTTTTGGGCTGTCAAGCAAGGCCGACTCCAGCCTCTGAGCCCTGGCACCTACCTGGAGCCCGCCAGCCTGCACGTCTTCGCGAAGCGCCACGCGAGCCCTGGCGGCCACGGCTGCAGACGCCAGGTCGCGGAGCTCCTCCGGGAAACCCAAATACCTCAGCGACTGCAGGAAGCCAGGCGCAATCCACCTGGAAAAAGATACTGGACCGCCGGTCTTGGCGGAAGTCGTTGGGCAACAACGGTTCCAGCTGTGCGACGCAAATCAGAACGGAGCTGATGCACACGCGATAAACCTCGATGGAGGGCAGCCACCCCAGCCCGAGCCGGCTCCATATGGTCGCTGTTTCGAGGCACTTGACGACGGCTGCGCGCCAGGACTCGTCGGCGCGATCTGGGCCGACGTGGAGGCCCAAGTGCTTGGCCTTGTCCGCGGTCGCGAAGGCGCCCCAGCTGGGGGCAAGGCTCGCCAGCCTCGCCCGGATCTCCTCCGCGCCCTGCATACATGTACTATCGCAGGGACATTTTGAAGTGCTGCTGCTGCCGCCGCTGGTGCAGCTGCTGTTCTGACACACCCCCTAAGCGCCTGTACCTGTACCTTTGCCTCCGCCTCCTCATTGTATCTTCCTACTTCTCCTGCAGCAGCTTCCCCTCCTCCTCCTTATCATTATCCTCCTCCTCCTCCTCCTCATCCTCATCCTCCTCCTCCTCCTGCTCCTCCTCCTCCTGCTCCTCCTCCTCCTCCTCCTTCTTCGATCAGCGACCCGGTCCCATTCGGTGCATGTGAGTCCTCCTCCTCCTCCCCCTCCTCGTCCTCGACGTTCTCCTCACCGTTGGCATCGTCGTCCTCATCCTGCTTCTCGCGGTTGTCTCCGATCTGGTCCCTCCCTTCTCACTCATCCTCCTCCTCCTCCTCATTCTCCTCCTCCTCTTCCTCCTCCTCCTCCTCCTCCTCCTCCTCTTCCTCCTCCTCTTCGCCATCAATATCAGCATCACCATCACGTCCACGCATCAGGAAAGCGCCGATCGACCGCGAGGTCGGACAAGCCTGAAACAGCCATCTGCGAACAGGCAGAATTATTCCCCGAACTACTGTGTGCAGTCTGGAGGTAACCGACTCTGCTCCTGGCGCTGTCACCCTCCTCCTACTCCTCATCCTCCACCTCTTCGTACGCACATTCCCCACTAATCCACCCAACATCTTGAAAATACTGACTCCAAATACTGACTCTTGCACTGTGTAGATTCACCCCAAACCACTTGAAGAACCTCATCACTTCAGTGTCACACCTTTTTTGGACGATCCCATGCTTACTCAGCAGAGCCATCGTTTGTTGTACATCCTATGGACTCGCCAGCAGATGATGCACGAACCTACCAAACCTGCTTAACAAAATGATTCCACCCCATGTGCCAAACATATCCACCCATTCCAACTCTGCACACAAGACAAGAAAAGTCCAATATATCACATGACGCACGCGCGCTCACCATGTGATACCCTTGCCTCCTTCCTTTATGTGAAATCATGACTGCCATGTGCGTCAACTGCCACCGCACTGCGCTGGTCATGGGGAGATGCCAACGCCACACTTGTGAACCGCATGTGAGGCCACTGAAACAAGAACCTGGAGCCATCGCTAGCGGACTTGCCACTGGACCCGCCTGACATTCAACATGTGTTGTCCTGGAGGCTTACAGCGACCCACGCTTTGTTAAAGGGGTCATGCGTCGCAGTGTCAGACAATCCCGGATTGGCCGCCCGTAGAGCCTCAAGGTGTCGAGCAGCTTCCAATCCTCAAGCGAAGTGGACAGGGGTCGCGCCATCTTGACTGGCTTGTATGAGCAATCCTGCGGCAATGTGTGCGGGCCCACATGCTTGGAACCCAGATGTCGCCACGCACGGTTGGGGTGCAGTTGAGTCCGACCGCAATGTGCGTGTGTTGGATATTGTGGCCACATAGGATTATCCCAAATTGCGTGTCACGCTCTGCGCAATCCTCTCCTTTGAAGAGTTTCATCAACATCTGCAAGCATATCCGCCGTAGCTTCTGTATGCTCGCAAGAGGAAGTGTGGCACCTGCCTAGAGTAGAACAGTGGTGGATGGACAATAATAGAACCTTGTTTTCATCCCTCCTTCACGACAGCTCTAAAACCCGCAAGCAATGCGCTACGAGCTTTAGGCGATGAGCACTCGCCCTGGTGGAATCCGCGCTCCCGCGGGATAGGGGCCGTGAGTGCAGCCTCTCAGTCCACAACCACACAAACAATCTCCCTCTCTCTCTCTCTTTTTCTCTCTCTCTCTCTCTCTCTCTCTCTCTCTCTCTCTCTCACACACACACATATCGATGTTGTCGAGCAAAGGCTGCCGCGGTGGTCGGGCTGGCGTGGCAGGACGCTAGACTTTCGTACGCCACGTCAAGGCGAGTGTAATCATACGCCTGATTGGCATCGAATTTTACAACTGCCACAGGTTTTCCCAAGGCCATCAGACCCTTTCCGAGACCAGAGACAACACTGCGATAAGTTCAAGGGTCTGATCCTTGGCGGTGCCTGTACCCGTTCAAGGGATGAGCCTTTTCAAGGGCAACCGAGATACGCAGGTCCAAAATATTGTGGCAAGTAAAACTAGAAAAGGCATCACCACCGTCATCACAAGCATCATCATCGACATCCATACACCTTTCGTCCATCCTCCACCACGGCTCCTCCTCACCCTGCTCCTCCTCCCCCTGCCTTGCCTCCTTCCCCTCCTGATAGTCTTCCTCGTCCTCACCCCCCTCCGTTTCTGAAGGAAAAAGCACGGCATCAATGAAAATTGACAGAAGTCCGCACGGATTTCTGGCGCGCGGAGCGCGCCAGGGGGCGGGGCCCCGCCGATCCGAGAAGTCCGCGCGGAGTGCCGCGAGTGCATGTTCATGCAATCTTCATTCCTCGATGTCCTCCCCCTCATCCTCCCCTAAGCGACGCGCTTATGCCGGCCGTTGGGCCCGCTGTGCCAAAAGTGGCCGCGCATCTGGGTGACGTGCGACGGCGACGCGCCGCCGGACTCGAGGCGCTCCAGAAGCAGCACCTCGTCCTCCGCCTGCAGGCTGGTCCCCTCTCACCCTCCTGGTCCTCATCCTCCTCCTCCTCCTCCTCCTCCTCCTCCTCCGCCTCCTCCTCCTCCTGATCCTCCTCCTTCTCCTCATCCTCCTGCTCCTTCGTAGCCATTTTGGCTCAAGGCTTTGAGTTTCACAGTGAACCAAGTGGATACCTGGATACAGTTTATCCGCGGCTAGCTTTCATATATTGAGGGACAGTTCGCCCTGTCACTTCGCCGTGGGCAGTTCGCCCTGTCCACGGACTCTTTCGCCCTGACTGGTGCAGCTGCGCGCTGCCGTCTGGGGCCCAATGCCCACAGTCAGGTCCCGTCTCGCTCAGAGGCCTGTGCAATGGCTCCTCATGCTGCTGCTGAAGGTAGCTCGGTGGAGCCTCCTCGAACGTGGCGGCGTTCGAGCCCGCGGCCGTGGCACGACCCGGACGAATGGAATACCGAGGGAGGGTTAGTCAACTGCCCGCTCCAGGGGTAAGGGTCCGACCTGTGCGAAGTGTGGGTGCAGGAAGAACACGGCGGGTAATATCGTCTGCAAGGGGTGCGGTCACAGGCTGGCCGACATCACACCATCTCAGACGGCAGAACCCGCAGGAATTTGGGCAGGAAGTCGCAAGGGGAAGTGCAAAGATGGTGAGTTTGCAAATACTCCTCTTCAGCTCGCGTCAGGGGATCAATTCCTGGTGGATGGTGCAGCGGTATCCACCGACCTGGACGTTGGTGAACTCAAGCACCTGTGTACGATGCTCGAGACGGTCGGGGATCTGCTACCCTGGTTCAATCAGACCCGGGTCAGCAGGAAACCAAAAAACTGCAATGCGGGACAAAAAAACTGCAGCGCATGGCTTCGCAAACCCGGGTCAGCCAATAGGCGCGGCCGCCTCGCGGCCACGAGCGGCTCGCCAACCTGGGTCAGCCAGGGGGGGTCTTCGCAGGATCCTACATGATCCGGTGCCCTGGCTGACCCCCGTCTGCATTGACCCCCGTCTCTGAGGCTCCGAGATGGCAGGCGATAAGGCTGGTGGTGCGAAGCACCGGCGTGCGTTGCAAGAGAGGGCGAGAGATGTAAAAATTAGCCTGACGAAGGACCCAACCATGTGCACCTGCGAGTGCCGCGAGGGAGATGAGACGAAGGAGGGGGGCGCGCAAACTCCGAGTAGCGCACGCGGTATAGCCTTCTGCCACGAAACGTGTGAAGGGTGTGCCGACATGAGTCGGGAGGACGCCTGCGAACGTCGCCATTGGGGCCTTCCGTGGGGCTCATATAGGGGCCACGAAACGTGTGAGGGGTGTGCCAAAATGGGGCGGTGGTGCCATGCAAACTTTCGCACTGGGGCCTTCGGCGGAGCTCCCTATGGGGCCACGACACGTGTGAGGTGTGTGCCGAAATGGGGCGGCGGTGCCACGGGACCACGAAACGTGTGAGGGGTGTGCCGAAACGGGCATGCGGTGGGCGGGGTGGACGCATGTGAACGCGGCCACTGGGGCCGTGGGTGGAGCTCTCTATCGAACCGTGCGAGGAGTGTGCCGACACGGACATGCGGTGGGCGGGGTGGACACATGTGAACGCGGCCACTGGGGCCTTGGGTGGAGCTCCCTATGGGGCCACGGACAGTGTGAGGGGTGTGCCGACATGGGCATGCGGTGGGCGGGGTGGACGCATGTGAACGAGGCCACTGGGGCCTTGGGTGCAGCTCCCTATGGGGCCACGGACAGTGTGAGGGGTGTGCCGACATGGACATGCGGTGGGCGGGGTGGACGCATGTGAACGAGGCCGCTGGGGCCTTGGGTGCAGCTCCCTATGGGGCCACGAACCATGTGAGGGGTGTGCCGACATGGACATGCGGTGGGCGGGTGGACACATGTGAACGCGGCCACTGGGGCCTTGGGTGGAGCTCCCTACGGAGCCACGAACCGGGAGAAAAAGGCGCCGACATGGGCATGCGGAGGGCAGAGTGCCGAAATGGACAGGCGGAGGGCAAAGGCATGCATGGAGAAGGGAGAGGAGAAGGAAGAGAGGAGGAGGAGGAGGAGGAAGAGGAGGAGAAGAACGCGTGGCGTCGTCTCTTCAAAACGAGAACCCAGCACTGGATGGTTGGGAAAAATGCACGATCGCGAGCGCACACTTTGTTTTGAAAACCCTTGTTGCGAAAGCATATAGTTTGTATGTTTTCGCGACAGACGATTTTGAACTCCATACGGAACTTTAGGTTGTTGACGGGCTCCGGCATGCGCGCGACGACTCGCGCGCGTACACTTCGTCAGTTTCTTGTTCGGGATTTTCGAAAAGTGCTGAGTTGTGATAAGCGAATGCGCGCGCATACATTTGTTGCTAAGAATGGCGGAGGGGGGATGCCCGACTGCCTGGGATTGTATGACTTCATATTGAGGAAGGACGATAGGGCAGAATCATAAGTACATTGCACATCTCCAGCGGGTCCCGATAAGTCCAGAGGGGAGATCCGAATACTCTTTGATAAAGGAGAATATATATATATATATATATATATATATATATATGGTGCAATTGATTTTTACCCATGAGTTGACACATCCCATGCCTTTGCAACCATCCCACCCACCCACCGGCAGCTTGGTTTGCAAAACCTCTTAAGACCGTGACGGTGGGTACCAAATGACACTTGGCAACGACAGCGACGCCGACGACGACAGCGTCAACGACGACGACGACGCCGCCGACAACGACTGCGAAGACACCGACGACGACGTCGCCAACGAAGACGACGACGAGGGAGGAGGAAGGACGACGACGGCGACAACGACGACAACGACGACAACGACGAGGGAGGAGGGAGGACGGCGACGACGCGAACGACGAAGAAGGAGGAAGGACGGCGACGCCGACGACGACAGCGTCAACGACGACGACGACGCCGCCGACAACGACTGCGAAGACACCGACGACGTCTCCAACGACTTCGACGACGCCGACAACGACGACGACGACGACGACGACGACGACGACGACGACACCGACGACGACGACGACGACGCCGACGCCCACGACGACGACGACGAGACGACGCCGACGACGACGACAACGACGATACCGACGACGACGACGACGTAAACGACGCCGACGACGACGACGACGACGACGACGACAACGACGGCGGCGACGACGACGACGCCGACGTCGACGACGACGAAGACGATGACGACGCCGACGCCGACGACGACGTCGAAGACGACGACGACGTCGCCAACGAAGACGACGACGAGGGAGGAGGAAGGACGACGACGGCGACAACGACGACAACGACGACAACGACGAGGGAGGAGGGAGGACGGCGACGACGCGAACGACGAAGAAGGAGGAAGGACGGCGACGCCGACGACGACAACGACGAGGGAGGAGGGAGACGACGACGACGACACGACGACGACGACGACGACGACGGACGACGACGACGGCGACGAAATAGGAGGACGACGACGAGACGCCGACGACGGCCGACGACGACGACGACGACGGACGACGACGACGACGAGGGAGGAGGAGGAAGGACGACCACGGCGACAACGACGACGGAAACGACCACGACGCCAAAGAGGACGACGACGACGAACACGAGGAAAGACAGAGGACGACGTAGGCGACGACGACGACGACGCGGGAGGAGGGAGGACGGCGACGACGACGACGACGACGACGACGACGACGCAAGAGCGCGCGCGCACGCTTTTGTTGAAAATCCGTGTTGCGAAACCTTGTGTTTTTGTAGGTTTTTGGGACACACGATTTTGAAAGCCTTCCGAAACCGATGGGTTTTGAAGGATTTCGGATGCGTCTGTACTTCGTCCCATTTTTTGCAGAGGATTCTCGCGACGGCACACGCGCAAGGGCGTTCGACAGATTTCGACATGCGCGCGCGAAGCCCGTTTGTTAGCATTTTGTGAAAATATTGGAAGACCCTATGGTTTTCTTAAGATTTCGCAAAAGCTCGCGCGTAAGCTTTTTTAGCACATCAGTGTTGCGAAACCCTGTGTTTTTGTTTGTGGTGTTGGGAAACTCGATTGCGAAATCTTTCCGGCACCGAAAGTTGTTGGAGGATTTCGGCATGCGCGCGCGACGGCGCGCGCGTGTGCACTTCGTCCCATTGTTTGCAGGGGATTCGTGAAAAAATGCGATGTTAGAACAACAGATGTCCCCGCGTATCGTTGTTCACAAGGGAACCTCAGGGGGGTCGATACCGGTTCCCCTGGGATAATGTAAACTCATAAGTAGGATGGACATGTGGTCAGAATCATATATGATTTACATACCCGTAAGGGGGGGCGGATAACGCCGGGGGGCAGAGTCTTTTTTTTTGGAAAGGAGAATCCATGTGGTGCAATATGAGCTGTGTAGACTACGTGGTGCAATCTATGTGGAACTATCTGCGCGGTGCAATCCATGCGACGCAATGAATTTCGAAAATCTTGAAGTTGTCAACTCCGCTGCTTCGCGCAATCATCCCACCCACCCACCCACAACTCGACTAGCAAAACCCATGCGGCGGCGATTGCGATGAGCGCTTGGCCTTGGCTAGTGCGTTTCTGCGGCCGCGCTAGCCTGCGCATGCTCGCGCGCACGGCGGCCAGCTCGTCTGGCGCGATCGACGCCGCCGCGGTGGCGCTGACCGTTTGGCACTTCCCAGCGGGCACTTCAGCGCGAGTCGGTGGCGTGGGAGGGCGCTTTATCATGGCGACGTCAAGAACGGCATACACGATGATGGGAGTAGCGATGATGGTGACGATGGTGACAGTGACGACGGCAAGGCCAATGACGACGCCGATGTTGATCACGCCGATGACGATGATGGTGTCCACGCGTCGGCAATGAAGGTGTGGACGGATTTCTACATGCGCGCGCGGCCGAAGCGCGCGAGTGGCCTGCATGATGTTATTTGACAGGGATCGTGCCCCCAGCACGCAGGAAAGGGCGCTCGAATGAATTCGACATGCGGCGCGGGAGGCCCGCTTAGTCGAATAGGAAGAACATGTCGAAACCCCGTTCTGGTTTTCTTGAGAATTCGCAAGAGCGCGCGCAGGCGTTTTGAAATCTGCGGTTGCAAAACCCTGTGGTTGCATCTGTTTTCGGGAAATTCGACGTTGAAATCCTTGCGAAAACGGGTTTTGAAAGAATTCTGGCGTGCGCGCCCACGACGACGCGCGCGTGTGAACTTCATTCCGCCTGTTGCAAGGGATTCGTGTGGCAGCACGCGCGAAGGGGGTTCGAACGATTTCGACATGCACGCGCGAGAGGCACGTTTGGTAGCTTTTCGATGGACATGTTGAGAAATCTGCGGTTTGCTCAATAATTCGCAAGGGCGCACAACGCATGCTTTCTTGAACAGGGTCCTGTTGCAAAACCATTTGCTTTGATTGTCTTCGGGACACTCAATGATGTAACCCGTACGACACCGAAGGGTTTTGAAAAATGTCGGCATGCGCGCGCGACGGCGCGCGCGTGTGCACGTCGCACCATGAGTTGCAAGGGGTTCTCGACAAGTGCGGATGTTTGAAAAACGAGTGCGCGCGTATAGTAACTGTTGCAGGGGACGAGGGGGAGTCGATCAAGGGACTGCCTGGGATGATATGGATTACTTGTTATGATGGACGATGGACAAGAATCACATGTAAACTACAATACAAAAAGGCGGGCCGTTGAGTCTGGGGGGTGGGGAGGTAGGTCCTAATACCTTCAAGAGTGGAAAATCTATGGGAGGCGGCGACAGGGCGGCGACGGCGACGACGGGGCGGCGACGGCGAGCACGGAGCCGCCAGACAGCCACCCAAACCCTGACGACGGGCGACGACGAGGCGGCGACGGGGCGGCGCCGGCGAGCACGGAGCCGCCAGACTGCCCGTCAAGCCCAATTCCGTAGAAGAGAAGTAGGGACCCGTAATTGCAAGCACTTTTGGGGGAATTTTGTTGTGCCGTGCATGCGGGCGGTATGCTGTCAAGACCGCCCAGCAGATCGGAGAAGTGTGCCCCGTGGCCAAGGCACATTCTGAAGGCAGGCCCTCTCCTGGCCCCACCACAAGTGGTGCCAGTAGCTGGTGCCGGTGTCCTGCTTCAGTTGGCCCGAGGATTACCCCCAAAAAGTGGTATGAATTTCCCCTCGGTGTGCGTGCGGCGCGCGAGTCCTGAGTTGATTCAGACTTTCCATATGGTCCAGACCAGGCTTCTCACCATTCTGCCTCCTCCTCCTCGCCCTCCTTCTCCTCCTCCTCCTCCTCCGCCTCATCCTCCTTCTCCTCCGTCTTCTCACTCGGCCGCTTTTGGTGCGCTCACCTCCCGACCTTTCGAGGCGCCGTCCACCCATCCATCTTTCTCCTCACTCACCCTGTCATCGTCTTACCTTCGACTTCCAGTCACCCTCCCCCCCCCTCGCGCCCACATTCCCTTCCTCCGTGCCACTGACCTTGCCCCCTTCCTGCTCTGCCCATGCCCTCCTCCGTCCCCTCACCCTCCATTCCCTCTCCCTCCCCTTCCTCCACCGTCTGTCTACCCCTTCGCGTCCCGCTCCGCCCCCCTTCACTGCCATGCCCTCCAACAGCGCCTGCTCGGTGACGCTCTTCTTGGACTTGCAGACCTTCATCGCCACGAGGTCTGGCCCGTCCTCCCTCTGGTCCCTCTCGTCGGCGCACAGCCACACGGTGGAGAACGCTCCAGCGCCCAGCTTCGACAGGACCCGGTACCTTCTGATTGCTCCTGCTCTCCTCCCCTGGCTGCCGCTGCTGCCATTGTGCTCCTCCGTCCCCTCCTCGACCTCATCCTCGCAAGCCGTGCCTGGGAAGGTTCTGAGCCACAGGCATGCATACATTTTGGTCGGCGGGTCGGGAGCGGGCCGGGCCCCTTCCGAATAAGAGCTAGGCGGGGCGCGCGAAGCCCTAATTGCGGAGACAGGGCGCGGGCAGGCGGGGCCTCAGGCGGCCGGAGGGTGCAGAGTACAGGCGGTGCCGAAGATCTTGCACAGGACAAGGTACGCCATGGACAGGAGCAGGGGGCGAAGTGCAGGCATGCACACATCAAGACCACTGCCTTGCATAAGTGGCCTAAGAGAGGGCTCGTGTCATCTCGGCGCTTCGCGCCTGCACGCCCTGACGACGGTCGGGCGGAGCGGGCAAGTGAGCACGGCGCGGCGCGTCCGCGCGCGGCCGCCCCCCGCGTTCAACGGCGCCGAGGACCACCGCCCCAGGGAGGGCCCCCCCTCTCTGCCTGCCGCTGCCATCGCAGACCATGTGATTTGGTCATCGCCTCACGCACTCCCTCCCTCAGTCCTTCCTCCTTCTCGGCCTGCTCCTTATCCCTCCCTCCCTCTCCCCCCCCTACTGTTCCTCCTCCACCTCGGCCTCATCATCATTGTCGACATTATCATGATCGTCATCATCATCAGCAGCCGCATCATCATCAGCAGCATCAGCATCAGCATCGCCGTCATCATCGTCATCATCATCATCATCATCATCATCATCATCATCATCATCATCAGCATCATCATCATCATCATCATCATCATCATCATCATCATCATCATCAGCATCATCATCATCATCATCATCATCATCATCATCATCATCATCATCATCATCATCATCATCATCATCATCATCATAGCATCATCATCAGAAGCATCATCAACATATGCATCATCATCATCATCATCAGCAGCAGCAGCAGCATCATCATCATCATCATCATCATCATCATCATCATCATCATCATCATCATCATCGTCAGACAATCATCAGACAATCATCAGACAAACATCAGACAAACATCATCATCACCATCAACACCATCATCAGCAGCAGCAGAAATCACCCTCATCATCGTCGATGCTTTCCACCATCACCATCAACATCATCATCAAAATCGTCACCGTCGCCAACAACAGCCGCAGCATGATCATCATCAGCGTTGCCATCATCATCATCATTAACATCGTCATCATCGGCGTCATCATCATCATCATCATCATCATCATCATCATCATCATCATCAAGATCAACATCGCCATCACCATGGCCATCGCGATCACCATTACCGTCATCGTCATCGTCATCGTCATCGTCATCGTCATCATCATCATCATCATCATCAGCATCATCATCAGCATCATCATCATCCTCGTCAGCATCGTCGTCGTCGCCGTCATCGTCAGCAGCAGCAGCACGAGGCCATCGCCCCTGCCTCCCGCAACGGCGGTCGGGGCGCGATGGCTGCGCTCCCACGCCGAAGAGCGGGCGGGCACCCGCTGCGCTCGGCTACCTCTTCCTGCTCATGCGGTTTCCTCTAACACTTCTCGTTCTGACGCGGTCGGGGGCATTCCTGTTCGCCGTACCCTCCTTGCTCTGACGCTGTTAGGGCGGCGAGGGTACGGCGACATAGAAAGCGGATCAAAGAATCCTCACCCTTGAATGCTCCATTGGCCCACCGCGTGCCAATCATGAATCAACCAATTCACTCAAAAAGGTCCCGCAATGGAGCCCGTGCACCTGCTCTGACGTTGTCGCAGCTGCCATGAGGCAGTCGGCTGCAAAAATAACGCTTGGGTGGTCTTGGGGATCTCTGGGGGCCATCCGAAGACGCACGGAAGACGGACCTCAGCCACAAACGCTCGGTGAGCAAACACTGCCACTGGCAGTGTTCAGTCACCGAGCGACCTTTTCCTCAGCCAAACGCGCCATAGGAGCTCCATATATAAACCATGCTGAATGAATTAGTTTGCTCATGATTGGCATGCGGGAGACCAATGGAACAGTAGTGAGTGATGATGTGTAAATCCGTTGCCTTACCCTCATTGCCCCAACAGCGTCAGAGCAATGAGGGCACACCGAACACGAGAAGCTCTGGCAGTGCCAAAGCAATGGGCGTGAAGCGAACAGGAACAGCTCCGACAGCGTCAGAGCAGCATGGGGAGGAAAGGGACGAGCAATAGGAAACTTGATGAGGAGGATGCTCACAGCGTATGTGGATACATAGGTGGCTCGGTCGGCTCACTCGTGGAAACCAAGTGTCCTTCCGTCCTAGCAGAACGTATGTGGACGTACGGATTGCACGGCCGACCTGTCAAGACGCACATGGACACATTGGTGGCACGGATGGCTCTGTCGTGAAAGCCAGCTGCACGTTCGACGTAGCGAGGCGCATGCTGACACACAGGTGGCGCGGGCGACCTAGCAGAGCGCATGTGTACACATAGGTGGCACGGCTGGTCTCTTGGTGAAAGCGAAATGGTCTACCTAGCAGAATGTGGACACATAGGTGGCGCGACCGACATAGCAGAACGCATGTGGACACATAAGTGGCACGCTCGGCCTTCTCGTAAAAGCCAGGTGTCCCTTCGATGGTACGGCCGATCTAGCAAAACGCATGTAGACCCGTAGGTGGCACGGCCCGCTCTCTCGTGAAAGGCGTATCACTTTTCGATCTAACATTACGCATGTGGACGCATAGGTGGCACTGTGGCTTGGCCGATCTAGCAGAAAACATGTGGACACATGGGTGGAACGGTCGGTTCTCTCGAAGCAGCCAGATACCCTGATCGGGCTTGGAAAATGCATGTGGTCTGATAGGTGGCACAAGCGACCTTGCAAAAGGCATGTGGAGACGTAGGTGGCACGGTCGACTCTCGTGGTAGCCAGATGCCCTGCTCGACCCAGCCAAACGCACGTGCGTAAATAGGTGGCAAGGCAGATCTATGAGAACGCATATGGACACATCTGTGGCTTGGTCGGCAACCTCGTGAAAGCCAGATGTCGTCCCGACGTGTCACAGCGCATGTGGACACATCAGTGACACTGCCGACCTAGCAGAACGCAAGTGGACGCATAGGTGGCACGGCAGATCTAGAACAAAGCATGTGGACACACACGTAGCACAGTCGCCCCCGCACGTGAAAGCCAGATGCCCTGTCGTCCTGGCAGAGCCCATGTGGACGCATAGGTGGTACAGCCGACCTAGCAGAACGCATGTGGATGCATAGGTGGCACGCTCGGCCCTCATGAAAGCCAGATTCCATGTCTACATCGCAGAACCCATGTGGACACATAGGTGGCACGGCCGACCTAGCAGAAACATGTGGACAGATAGGTAGCAAGCTCGGTTGTATCGGGGAGCCAAACGTTCATTCGACCTCGCAAAACGCATGTGGACACTTAAGTGGCACAGCCGACAGAGGTGGCACAGCTGGCTCTGTCGTGAAAGCCTGATGTAGTTTCGAACTAGAGAAGCGCACGTTGACACACAAGTGGCACGGCCGACCTAACAGAACGCCTGTAGACACATAGGTGGCACGCCAGGCTTGTTCGTGATAACCAAACGTTCTTGCGACCCAGCGGAACGCATGTTGACACACAGGTGGCGCGGTCGACCTAACAGAACGTATGTGGATACATAAGTGGCACGGTTGGCTTTCTCGTGAAAACCACATGATCTGTCGACCCATCAGATCGCATGTGGACACATAAGTGGCGCGGCCGACGTCGCAGAAAACACGTCACATGCGTTCTGCGACGCCGTCGGCACGTGAAGTGGACACCCAGACGGGACGATCAGCTTTCTCGTGACAGACAAATGTTCTTTCGGAACGCGCGTGGACACGTGCGTGGCCCTGCCAACCTAGCAGAAAGCATGTGGAGCGTAGGTGGCACGGCCCGACCTCTTGTGAAAGGCAGAGGTCCTTTCGACCTCGCAGAACTTCTGTGGGCACACAGGTGGCACAGTCGACGTGGCAGAACGCATGTGGGCACAGAGGTGGCACAGCTCCAGAAACAATTTCAGCCGGTGTCAGCGTTCCGGAAACAGTACAGTTCCAGTGTTTTCGAAACAACTCCAGCGCTTCGGAAAAAAGGGTTCGACCTTTCTCGGGAGCGGCCAAGAGGGGGGCGTCCAAGAGGGGGGTCTGCAAATTATGGCCGGCGGCATGTGCGCGGCCCAAGGGGGGGCCGGGGACGTAAAGAGAGAAGAAGAGGCGCCGTGAGATCTGGGGAGATATCATGGCCCCCGTCATGATATCCACCCCCCCCTAGTCCTCCCCCCCCTCCGTGCCGCCCCCGACACCCCGACATTCTTGAATCAAGGCTCGCCCGTTCCAGAAACAGGCTTCGCCGTTCCAGAAGCAGGAGTCGCCCGCTCTGGAGGCTTTACCCCTTCCGCAGACAGGCGCCGCCTGTTCCAGAAACAAACTTTCATGAATTTCATGAATCTCATGTTTCCGGTTTGATATGGATCGATCCTTCTGGGTTTATTTGTCCCTGTGCCCCTCTTGTCTTGTATGTGAGCCCTCTTGTTGATAGTATCGCTCTCGTTGTCATTGGTTTGTTTGTTTCTCTCTTTCTCTCAATCTCTCCCTCTCTCTCTCTGTTTTCTCTCTCTCTCTCAACCGCTCTCTCTCTCTCTCTATCGCTCCCCTTCTCCCTCCCTCTCTTTCTCTCTCTCTCTCTCTCTCTCTCCCTCTCTCTCTCTGTCTATGAGTTTCTGATTTCCCTCTATATCATCCCCTCATCGTCATATCTATATTTGTCTCGCGGTGCTCCTCCCCTTCATTGGTCTATCCCTCTTTCCTCTCAATATGTCTCAATCGGGATCCCTCTCTTTGCTTGTTTCTGACAACTGGAGCCTCCGATTCCTCTCTCCGCCCCTCTCTCATGTTCCCCTCCCGTATTTATATGCGTATGTATTCCCTGTATGATGTCCCTTTTCCATGATGTCTTTCTATCGGTCTAGTTGTCTCTCTTTCTCATTATTTAGATCTCCAACCAAGCAGCTCCAAAACAGTAGCGAAGCACGCAGAGCTTAAAACGAATCAGTTCCAATCGAGAGCGAAGCACTGAAAACCAGAGAAACAGTCATTTCAATTACTGTAGAAGTGGTTCGCAGACCACCGACGCAGAGAACCGCCTGTGAAGCACGGTCCGCGTGAGGGTGTGACGAGAAGCGTGCAGCCGGCAGCGCAACAGCAGCAGCGACAGCAGCATGCAGCGGGCAGCGCATGAGCAGTGGCAGGGCCAGGAATTCGGGTGCGACGCGCGGACCCTGCGGAGATTAGAACGAGGACCGACAACTCACTCGCGCGAGCACAGCGGCAGGAGAACAGCGAGAAAAAAATCGTCCCGCCCGCATCCTCTTCCTGCCTGTCCATTACGAGCAGGAGTCATTATACCCCAGGAGGGAGAACAAATCCCGACCCCTGCGTTGAGGAAAACGAGAAGGAACATCGGAAGAAGAGGGAAGGAAAACATGTGCCAAGGAAGGCACCATGGGGGAGAGGGGTGAGAGGAAGAAGAAGGCGGAGGACGAGGACGGGAAGGAGGGCGAGGAGAGGGACATGGAGAGGAAGGAGCAGGGAAAGCGAGGGAGACACGGGGGAGGGAAGAAGGAGAGGGGGGGAGAGAGAAGCGGGAAGGGGTGGGAAGGGGGAAGAGGAGGTGGAAGAACGGGGGGGAGCACGGGGGAAGACGACGGAGAAGGAGGAGAAGAGAATACCCACGAGGACGAGAAAAAAGACGACAATCACACCGTTGGCGGCGGAAGGCCCCGAAGAACACTTGAGCACTAACGAGAGCACCGTAGAGAGCACGACACAGAGAGGAGAACAATATGTATAGTACTCTAGAGAGTACTGATGAGAGCCCACACGGAAGACCGTAAAGGATGCCAGAAGGGAGCCAATACGGGAAAGCATCCGGGAGACCGTACGGGAGGCCTTGCGGGAAACCGTGCGGAGAACCATACAAATCACCATACGGGAGACCATCAAAACACCGATCCCGCGCTGGGAACGGCCAACCAGGCCCCTGCTACGAGCCATACATACATATGCAGATAGATAGAGATATACATATATATGTATATATACATGCATATACATATACATATACATATACATATACATATACATATACATATACATATACATATGCATATACATATACAGATGCATATACAAACATACATACGTACGTACATACATACATACATACATACATATATACATACATACATACATACATACATACATACATACATACATACATACATACATACATACATACATACATACATACATACATACATACATACATACATACATACATACATACATACATACATACATACATACATACATATATATATATATATATATATATATATATACATACATATGTGAAAACCTACTAGAAAACTGGTTAGGGAACGACAACCACGACGAAGGACAAATGAGATTCGAGCAGCACGGCACGAGCCGGCGGGGCTGGCGCCTGCCGCTGTACAGCTGGTATGGCATCACGGGGTGGTAACCGCCGTGCTTGTAGTCGCGCGGGTCGTCCTCCAGACGGCGGCCGACGAGTCGTGAGGCAAGAGAACGGGAAGGGAAGGGGACGGGGGGGGGGGAGGCGAGGCAAGGCGATCTCAGCGTGTGTCCACAGGACTGCTGCTGCTCATCGCTGGGCCACTGAGGGGCGCAGCGGTGAGGGGCCGGCTTCCGTCCCCCATAAACTGGCACTGATGGTGGAGCCGCGGCCCCCATCCAGGTGCAGATGGAAGCTGCTCGTGGCCCACAGGGCCACGCGCAGGTGCTGCCTGCGTCGGGCTCCAGCCTCACTCACGTGGATCCTGCATCGCTGGGCCCCGGCCAGAGCGGGGCGAGGGGGAGGCGGGAGCTGGAGGAGAGGCGGGGGAGAAGGAGGGGGAGGATCCAATGACCGCAACGATGTCGGTTTCCTCACCCGTGGGGTCGGCCACGGGCTCCGGGAGGGCCTGGGAACCAGGGGCCACCTGCTGGGCTGGAGGACGAAGGGCCTCGCGGGCCGCTCGGGATCTGGAACTGTCGTCACGCCCTAGCGATATGGTGTGGGAGCCGCGCCCACTGGGAGCATTCTCCTCCTCATTGGGTCGGGACCCAGTCGGCGATGCAGCCCCGCCATGCAGAGCCCCTACAGCCTGCTCGGGGCGCGGTTCCGTTGGCCGTGCGCGCTCGGCAGCGCCAGCAGCGGCTTCCACGCCCAGCCCGTCACCGCCGGCAGCCTCCAGTGACACGGTGTGGGGTGCACCGCCAGGGAACATCCACATCCATCGCTCTGGAAGTCCTGCTCGGGGTTCCCCTGGGGAGCGGTGGGGGTGGGTGCCCTGCAGCAACTGGGAGCGGGCAGGCATTCACGTCCGCCACTCCTCGAGAGGTCTTCGAGGTCCCAGGGCACGACGCTGAGGCGGTGGATGTGGGCATGCTCTGGCGGTGGATGGTCCAACGCCCGACGGCAGGCGCCCGACGACGACACCGACGCCGACGGCGCCCAAAGGACAGCGCCCATGGTCCTCATTCGAGGAACAGGCGGCGGAACAAGGAAAATGAAGAGGAGGACAACTGATTGGGGGGGAAAAGGATGAGGAGGAAAAGGAGGGGACCCAGCGCCTCAGATGGAGGAGGAGGAGGAGTCTCACGGAGCGTCATGGAGTGTCATGGGAGCCAGCCTACGTGGCTACAGACACTGAGCATAAGGTGCGCCAGGCACCATGTGCCGCGCCTGATCGCGACGCGCACGGCTGGCGGCAGCCTCCAAGACGGGGACCGCTGGGCTACTGTGGCCTGGGAAGAAACCTCGCCTGATACGGTGGAAGTTGCCCCAGCCCTTCTTCGTGAGGGGAACGCACTCTTTGATTACCTGCCTGAGGTCAACCGTGGCCGATCGACCGCAACAGGGGCAGAAACAACGAGAGTGCAAAGGTCAGACATGCAAACGATGACCGCAGTGAAATTGAGCTCCCCCCACCGTCACCACCCCGTCAGCCAGAACGATCCCATGACCAGAAGGTTCCTCACCTGCCGAACGGCACGGGTAAAGGGCCCTGACAAGCCTCCAACACCTAAGACGAAGGAAAATTCGAGCAAAGCCAGCAGCTCCACTTGGAACACGTCTTAATAAAACAGGACGAGCTGCGAAGGAGGGCGGCCTGGAGTTTCGTGGTTTTGTCTCGGCCCATCGTGGGCCTCCCCGCGGAACAGGGAGCCTCGGTAAGAGAGTCCACAGGGGCCTGAGCGGCCCGGTGGCGGACCAAACAGCAAGGGGCGTCCCACTGATCGGTGCCGGGCACGCCGTCCAAGAGAGGCGAGCCGCCAAGATTATTTGGCGGCCTCGAACGCGAGAGCGTCAGCTATAGTATCACTCGACGCGAGGAGCACATCTTCCTCGGAAAAAGCAGGGTCCGCGGGATCAAGTTGGGAGGGGAACCATCGCATAACGATCCCATCCTGACGGCCCATGGAGGCGAATCGAGTTCGATACCCCAAATCAGAAGAGCCCCGGCAGGAAAGCTAGCGGCGACTGCGCCAGCCATCGTACAGGGCCTCATTGTCAGTGACATGCTCAAAATGATGAGCAGCTCGGCCCTCGGGGCTGCCTGGCGTCTGCCGGTCTGGTCCAAGCCACCATCCCAGGCAGCCAAGACCAAGGCTGCGCCGATCCGCCGTCGCCCAGGCTTGGAGCTGAAGGACCCTCCAGGACCATCCAAAAAAAACCCTCGGGGGACCAGAGGGGGGCCATGGCGGCGGAAGCGGCGGCTTCAGCATCAACAGAAGACGCAGGACCCACCCTCCACGGCACGACCATCCCCCATCCTCGAAAACAGGGCACACGTGGGAGCTGGGAGCCTCTGTCCTACGGCAGCCTGGGTACAAAGTGAAGCTGATTCGTCGCACGCTGGCTTACACACCGAAATTGGCACTGCACGTCCAAGAACGGTGGTACATGGTCTCAGGCTCACTCCCACAACGCGGACAAAGAGGGGCGGCCAGATACCCTGCGGCGTGCTGGCACGAGGAGGAGGAGGAGGAGGAGGAGGAGGAGGAGGAGGAGGAGAAGGAGGGGGAGGGGAAGGAGGAGAACGACAATTGCAAACGGGCTTCCAGGGTGTAGCACAGACGGGAGGGGCCGCGTACGGAACATTGATCGGCGTGCCGGAGCCATTTGGGCCGTATGATGGGGTCAGCCGAGAGAACGCAGAAGTGTGTGACCACACGGGCGGCGGCGAGCCGCTTGCCTTGCCAGTGGAAGTTGTCGGGGGGGTGGTTTGGCGCCACCCTGTCGCCGTAGACCCTCTTCAGGAAGGGCCGCAGTAGGGACGGGCCCCAGCCGTCGGGAGCCTCGGAGCCTCTGACGTTTCTGCCCTGCTCCCCCATGTCCCTGATCACCTCAACTCCCCTGGGCATCGTTTCTGGATGGGCTGGTGGGGATACGCGAAGCGTCAGCAATTGAAAAATAGCATGTGTGTTTTTGCTGGTTCGAACGGTTTCAATCCTTGCAGAATGGCGCTGCTGCTACAGCGTTGGCTCCATCTTCCCGTTCTCAGTCCTTCCCCATCATGTACCCGCTGCAGCGCGGACCTCTTTTCATTGTTTCGGTTCTTCCAAATCGTGTTCCTGCTGCAGCGTTGGCTTCGGCTCCGCCCTTCCAGTCCTTCCGAATCGTTCTCCCACTGCCACGCTGGACTCAGTTCCGCGGTTTCGGTCCTTCAAAGTCGTGCTCCCGCTGCAACGCTGATCTCATGTTGAGCTTTCCGCTTTTTGAACCGTCCATTTGCATCCCGTCCTGTGTCACTTCTGGTTCCCCTCTGACCTTGTTGTCGACAGGGGTCGCGTTCTCGACGCGACGACGCCGGCTGTGGCCGTGCTCGTTTATGCCATGCTACGCCGTGCTATACCATGCATCGCGTGCTCCCTCAGGATCATTATCCAGTTCGACACCCATTTGTGCGAATAGAAAAAAGATCTACGTAAGGCAAAGGGATGGGAGGGAGGAGTAGGACGTCAGATACGACGCTTGCGCACATAGCTTGACTCTACCCCTTCTCTGCTCTACTCTCCTCTCCCCTACTCTACTCTATGTTGTCCTACTCTACTCTGTCCTACTCTACCGTACCGTACCCCAAGATACTCTACCCTGCTCCTACTCTACTCTACTCTACTCTACTCGACTCAGCTCTACTCTACTATTGTGTCTGCTCTACTCTACCCATCTACTCTTCGTGTCTCGACTCCTTCTCTACTCCCATCTGATCTACACCTCTCTACTCTACTCTACCCTACTCTACTCTACCCTACCGTATCCCACCCCCCCTACCCTACAGTCTACTCGGGTCCCATTATACTCTACTCTGACCCGACTCTCCTCTGCTCATTGTCGTCAACCTCGTCGTCTTCGTCGTCGTCTTCGTCGTGCGTCGTCGTCGCGGGCGTCGTCGTCGTCGTCGTCGTCGTCGGCGTCGTCGTCGCCATCGCGTTGGCGTCGTCGTCGTCGTGCGTCATGCGTCGTGCGTCGTGAGTGGTGCGTCGTCGTCGTCGTCGCCGCCGTCGTCGTCGTCGTCGTCGTCGCCGTCAACGTCGCGTCGGCGTTGTCTTTGTCGTGCGTCGTGCGTCGTGCGTCGTGCGTCGTCGTTATCGTCGTCGGCGTCGTCCTCGTCGTCGGCGTCGTCCTCGTCGGTCGGTGTCGTCGTGAGCCGTGCATCGTGCGTCGTGCATCGTGCGTCGTCGTCGTCGTCGTCGTCGTCGTCGCGGGGGGGTTGGGGGAACAGGGGGGGGCGGCCCCAATGATTTTCCGGGGGGGGGGGGGGGGGGGGGGGGCGGCAGGGTTCCGGGCCCCCGCGGCTCATTCCCCGGCGGGGGGGTGCCGAACCCGCCCACTCATTTCCCTGGGGTGAAGGAGGTCCTGCATCCCCCCCAACTGGTTTGGGTGGGATTGTACCCCCCTTGCCAGCCAGCAGTGGCAAAAAACGCTCCTTCTGATCGGTTTAAACCGAATGCGTGCGGCGCTAAGGCGAGAGCCACATTTTGAAAACGGCCTGTCCGTGTAGCTCTTGCAAAAGTCAAAATAGAATGTGCGCGGCGATGACGCAAAAGCCAAATTTTGAAAAGGAACCGCACTCCATGAGTGAAGCTCTTGCAAATGTTCAAGACGAATGCGCGCTGCGCTGAAGCGAGAGCCACATATTGAAAATGGCCCGCCCTCCATCCGCTAAAACCCTTGCAAATGCTTGAGACGAGCGCGCGCGGTGCTAAGGCGCGAGCCACATGTTTTAAACGACCCACCCACCATCAGCGATTCTCTCGTAATGTTTCAGAACGAATGTGCGCGGAGCTAAGGCGAGAGCCACGTTTTTTTAACGGCACGCCATCCACTGGCGAAACTCAGACAAATGATCAACTGAAAAATCCGACATGGTGAGGAAGACTTAGGCGAAACGCCCGGCCCGCCCTAGCAACACACCTCGGGGTGCGCCGGGACGGAGTTATTT